ATTATGATGAAATTGTTAAAATTATTGATGAAAATTATTAACATCGTACTACAATTTGTGCATCATTGCTGGATTGGCGACTTGACGAATTTGGTGTCTCAAAATAGATTCAACCTTCATTCTTTATGAAATAAATAAATTTGGTGAATCCAAACGAGCAACTCTCTAAATGGCTTTAGTTTATGTCGTACAAAACGATAAAGTTAAGGTACACTTAGCTCGGTTGGTGAAAAATTACCTCGTGCTCTAGTAATAGGATTAGCCAACAAGTTCAGTATTTAAATCCAATTAAGTCCGCTTGGAATGTTCTATGGAGATGTATTACTGTAATTTAATAAACTTTGCAGATCCTTCAGTGTTTCCAAACTGTCTTGACAAAGCAATGGTCTTCGCCTCCAACTGAGTTAAAAATCGTCATTAATTTAACAATGGAACATAGCCTAGATAACATTTACAAGTGATCACCCTGAGTATTGAAATTGATTACACAATGACATGGGGGACTGTATTTTCTTGATGGGATTTCATTTTGTGCATTTTCAAAACAGAAAATAAGTATATTTCCCCCATAATATTTAAAGCACTATTTGCTTATTGACAAATATCATTAAATTCTAATGATTACAATTTTTAGAATCACAGCTTTTTTTGGAAACTATTACATTTAAAAATATGAATTATAGCCAAACATTAAAGTTATGGATAGTCATTAGCTTTCAAACATAGAATTAAACCAGTAAAAGTAGCTTTGTAACATAGAAAATTCACAAATATCTATGATGGAATTAATAATAAGAATGCTCTGCACCAATTTAAATAATAACAAAAGCATCAATTCATTTATTTAGTGCATTCTTCTTCTTTTTTTGATTAGTTCAGTTCCTTACACGAAAATTTCCATTATATTTCATAATCATTTGTATAGATAATTTTCATTATAAAAATATCGACTTTTTTTTTCCATTGTATAAAACTCAATCCATTAGCCAACAATAACAGAAAAATGTTAAATTAATGATTTTTAAAACTCTTTTTTTCAATTTTCTGTTAATATCGCAACGATTTAAAAAGCATTTCCAATAAATATTTAGAATAAATGCGAAGAATTTGTTGTGCAAGTAATTTATGAGTCACACAGGAATTGTAAGATCGCATTTTGGGAATATTAAAGTAGAAGATTCAGTATCTCTCCCCCAAAAATCATACAACTTGAAAGGATTAAAATGGATTTCTTTTACAATTGCGTTTTCATGATGCTTCGCTGTAGTGGAATTTTTACGCTTTCTTTTTCAAAAACAGAGAAATTGATGAGATTGAAAAATGTTGCTTCTGTGTTACTGAATATCGTTGTTGCATTGTTGCAAGTTGAAATAACCGTATCTGTATTCAAATATAAAGGAAACTTTGTTCTGTTTCTTTCAGTTTTCATGTTTACTGTTGCGATTTTAATCCATCGCAGTGTTCTTAGCGTAAAAGATTAATAAATTGAAGAATATTGTCCATCTTTTAAACCAATTTAAGATTAATAAAAAGTGCATGAATTTAAAAAAACGGCTGAAAATTCTCATGTGCGTCAACATATTTATTGAAGTTTTGCTGATAGGTTTGAAATGTATCTTCACAAAAGAATACGAAAATGTTTCAGATTTATTTTTTGGATACGATTTTAGTAATGGTTTTTGTATAAAAATAATTTATTTTCTAGTGGAGGTTTTCTGTCTCTTGTGCCAAATCCTTCCTATTATGGCTTTTGCAATATTTTACTCTACAATGTGCTACCATGTAAAAATATATCATTAACTACTTTGTTGGAACTTTTCGTTCCAAAAACACAAGTGCTGAAAGTTTGCTGAATTCCTATTCGCTTATTAACGAAGTTGTTGGCGAGATTGATAAAGAGGTTGGCTCTTTTGGTCTTTTTACAACTATTATTTATAATTGTTGCATAATGTTTCTTACTTTTTATACTGTATTCAATCTCATGATGCTTTAAAGAATTTGTACTTCTATTGCAAATGAGCTGTCATTTAATATTTATGTTTGGTTTGTTTACAATTATGACTATTTCGGCCTCTATGGTAGCAGAAGCGTCGTCAGAGGTTCATTTAAAATCTTTGCTGACACCTCAAATTGCAGAAAAGTCGACCCCTCACCTACCAAAGGTTCATTATGTATGCAGAAAAAGGAATCTTCTTGACTGTCTGGGGAATCATACCTATGAACAAAAATTTTATTTTTGGAATGATGGGAATGAGTTTTACTTATACATTGCTGTTTTACGGTTTGAATCCTGTCAATTTTAACTGAACGAACTAAATTTTTTGAATCCACATTATGTTTTTGCTTTATTGTACAACATGATACAAGTTGCACGAAATGGTTGTTTTGTAAAGGAAATATTTCAATAAATGAATACATTCTGCATTTATTTCTCTTTTTTTAGCATTTTTTTTTAATTATTATTTATTTATTTTTAAATTTTATTTAAATATTTTATTTTAAAATTTATTAATTTTATTAAATTTTATTTATTTATTTTTTAAATATATTAGTTCGTTACATTTCGTTACATTTACATCGAATTGCATCCGCCCCAAAAAATTGTTCAGAAAATATCATATCGTTTTCTTTTTTTTACAACAGTGTTTACACTGTGTGCGGGTTGTACGTTATGTGTACAACAATGTGTTGTGTGTAAACAGTGTTTACTTTAGACATTGTGTTTCCAAACAAATGCAATTCCTGTTGCAAACAAAAGAAAAAAGATATGATATATTATGAACAATTTAGTAATTACTACAGCATAATATTACTATGAAAATGTGTGAAAAAATGGAAAACAAATCTTGTTATACTATAGAAAAACAGTTATAAAATATTTTTCCTCAAAAAGGCTTAATTATATTTTATAAATTTATGACAATCTATCTATCTACAACTCCATTTATAGAAGAATTTATCTCCATTTATTTCAGAAGATTCCGGGATTATTTTGTACCTTCCTGCATATACACACCCCTCCCTGCATATAATATTTGAACTGTAAACAGAGAGGGATTATACCTTTCACCTATTGTGTATTTGTACAAAACCAGTGTCTTCAGAGATAGGGCCGTAAGATTTTGTTGTCACAACTAACAGCCCTAAGTCATTTGGATTATGAAGACATCTAACCTTCTTCAATTCCAACTTCAGAAATTGCGAGAGTCCGAGCTCCCCGTCCCAAATTTGCCTTTCTATCTGTGATTTTACCGTGAAAATCAAATTTGCCTTTTAAGGTGGTGCTCATAGTGTTGAAACAGCTCAGAGACCTACTCAGACGCATTTCTTTTTGGGGACATCTGAAGCAATTGGTATATCAAACATCAGTTAATACAGAACAAAACTATATTCTTTGCATGCTGCCTTTATTTTGCGATTCGAGTTCAGCTATCCAGCTTCTGCAATTGCTTGCAAGTGTTTGCTTACAGGTGCAATGCTTAAGGTGCAATTGCTTTCAAGTGTTTACCTAAGTTGCTTACAGGTGTTTTAGTTGTGTTTCAGGTTTGTCGTCATTTAGTAACAACCTTTGGCTTATTCACAGTTATGACTATTGATTTATTCACAGTTATGACTATTGATTTATTCACAGTTATGTATTGTTTCATCCACAGTTATGATAATTGGCTTATTCACTGTTATGGCTATTGGCTTATTCACAGTTATGACTACTAGCTTATTTACAGTTTCAACTATTAACATAGTCACAATTATGAGTATGAACTTATTTACAGTTATGAAGGCTCAATTACGAAGAAAGGTTTGCTTTCGAGGGCAAATTAGAGAAATGTCGTATTCAACTTCCAAAATTTCATCATGTAAGCAGAAAAGTGCACCTGATTGAATGCTTTGCGGAAACATTTCCATAAAATTCAAATAGAACTCCATTAGAATTACAAGTGGTGCAGTAGATGACTGCTACCACAGCTAACTCCAGAACATATAACCACTTTCTCAACCCAGCTTAAATCTTCTCCTGTTAGCAGCAACTGGAAGGCCGATATTCAGAAGAACGCTGCGCTGTATTCATCTCTAACTTTCAACATTGTTATTGTCCTTCACACAACACCGCCAAATGGAGAACTACATTATTTGCTGGCGAGTCAAAGTTTTTTTGCGTAGTGATTTGGAAAGAAGATAAGTTGAAGGCTGGAGTCCAAAATCATGTATTTTTCATTCATGTAAAACTAAAATGACATTTTTTTTTTTACTATTTGGCCAACTAAAAATGGCGCAAAACAGCATCTTTTTTTCGAAGAATGCCAACAAAAGCTACTGTTACAATTATAAATATCAAGTCTCCTTTTGGGGTAAAAGAGATAAAATGTATAAGAAACTCGTAAAATCGAACCGAATTGAACCAATTTAATGACTTGGTTACTGCAGCTATAAAAAAAGACAACCAGTTTAACAATTATTACTTTTACACGTTTTCAATGTCAAATTATTTGGATAAACTCACTCCTTTGTTGATTAGTCTGGCCTGGTCTTTCCGATAGGGAATTCCTCCTACGTCGCTAGGACCCATCACTTCGTTTATCGTAAGTGACGTGTTCCGCGGTTATTTTTGGTATAAGGTTCATTGTAGCAAATGAATAGCAAGTGGTCGAAAATGTGTTTGTGTTTTTAACTTTATCGCAGTCACATTCAATTAAATTTTCTTGCGGCTCTAATCAACTTTGTTTGTTGTTGTCGTGTCCTCACGGAGCGGCTTAAGAGGTGCAGCTTCTCTGTTCTGATGGAGCACCCTGTAGGTAGAAATCTGACTTCTGCTCCGTAATTTGCACTCTTTACAGTCATATGGGAGAGACCGGGACCTACGCCTTAAAGTGGGTGGATTCCGAACCACTACAAAATCCATGGCACCGCCGGATTCGAAACCCGAAACCTGTGGCACCGAGCGCCAGGGCGCTAGACACTTGGCCATTCAGGTCCCAAATTTGTGAATGCCCACGGCTTGCACGCGTGTTCCCAGGTGGTCACCCACAAGTACTGACCGCGCCCCGGGCTTGACTTCGGTGATCTAACGAGAACCGGTATATTCAGCATGGTACGTCCGTTGTTGGCTCGTCAACTTTTAAAATTGTAAAATTACAACTCAATATTTTTTTACAAGTCAAAATTTATTTCTTAAATTTTAAAAATCAAATAATAATAATAATTTATATTCAAGGCATTAAAAAAAGAATTTAATTTTCTCTGCCATTTTTACTGTCTGCCTAACCATGAAAAAATTTTGAACAAGTAATATATAAAAATATTTTTAAAGTCAATTCCCTACTTTTTTCACTCTATTGCAGAAATTCCTTTATAAATAATTTTCATTCATTTTTTTAAAGTTTATCCGGCGCTATCTATTGGTAGATATACTCTTGCAACTAAATCTAAAAAAAACTAAAATTAATTAATTAAATTTAATTTACTGAATTAATATTTGGGTAAAAAACTGTATTAACATCGAGTTTCATCCACTGCATGTTCAAAAAAGATGTAATTATTTGAACTTGATGGATGAATAAAATGTATATTTATGAACGATTGAAAATTTGAACAAGATATTTATAGAGAGTGTGAGATAATAGAAGGAATTCAAAATTTAATTGGAATTTAAAGATAAACGAGGTTGTCATATTCTTCTGAAAAGCTAATTAACATCGTACTACAATTTTATGCATCATTGCTGGTTTGGTGACTTGACAAATTTGGTGTCCCAAAAATAGGATTCAACCTTCGTTATTTTGAAACAAATAAATTTGATTAATCCATGCGGCTGGAATCTCTTTGAATGACCACAATTAACCTGTATGTCGTCCTTGGACTGTTACTGGTCAATGTAGCGATGTGTTAAGTTACACTAGCTCGATTGGTGGAAACTTTACCTTCATGCTGTAATACTATTGCATTAGGATTAGTCAGGATGTAAACTCAATTAAATAAAAGTTGATATATACTAGGGAGATATGATGCAGATGTATTGCTGTATTTAATAACCATTTGAAAATCCTTCAGTGTCTTCAAAATTGTCTTGACGAAGTAATGGTCTTCGCTTCCAGTTGAGATAAAAATCGCCATTTATTTAACAATGGAACATCACCTGCATAATTTTACAGGTGATCACTTTGAAAAGTTGAAATTAATTATATATTGATAACGGGTAGTATTTTTTTCTTGATAGATTACATTTTTGGGCATTTTCATAATAGAAAATAAGTATATTTTCCCCACTAATTTTTGAAGTGATGTTTGCTTATTGATAAATTTCTTTAAATTCTAATCATTGCAATTTTTACCATCACAGCTTTTTTTTTGGAAACTAATACCTTTTAAAGATATGGTTCTAACTACATTAAAGTTATGGATAGTCATCAGCTTTCAAACATAGAATTAGACCAGAAAAATAGCTTGTAACATAGAATTAAATTTACTAATATCTATGATGGAGTTAACAATAAGAATGCTATACACCAATTTAAATAATAACAAAAGCATCAATTCATTTATTTAGTATACTATTATTCTTTTTCGTTAGTTCAGTTCCTTACACGGAAATTTCCCATTATATTCTACAATCATTCGTATAGATAATTTTCATAATAAAAATATCGACTTTTTGTATCCATTATATAAAACTCAATCCATTAATCTAAAATATCAGAAAAATTTTAAATTAATGATTTTAAAAACTCTTTTTTTTTAATTTTCTGTTAATATAGCAACGCTTTGAAGCATTTCAAATGAATATTTAGAATAAATGCGAAGAATTTATTGTGCAAATTAATTTATCAGTCTCACAGAAATTGTAAGATTACATTTTTAGGAATATTAAACTAGAAGACTCAGTATCTAAAAAAAATCTTAAAACTTTAAAAATGGATTTCTTTTACAAGTGCGTTTTCACGATGTTTAACTGTAGTGGAATTTTCAAGCTTTCTTTTTCAAAAACGGAGAAATTGGTCAGACTGAGAAATGTTGTTTCTGTGGTATTGAACACAGCTGTGGCATTGATTCAAGTTGCAATAACCGTATCTATTTTCGAATATAAAGGAAATTTGTTCTGTTTCTTTCAGTTTTTATGTTTACTGTTGCGATTTCTGTCCATCGTAGTATTCTTAGCGTAAAGATTAAAAAAAATTGAAGAATATTGTCAATCTTTTATACCAATTTAAGATTGATAAAAAACATATGAATTTGGTACAGTTGGAAATTCTCATGTACGTCAACATATTTATTCAAGCTTTCTTGATAGTGTTGAAATTTATTTTCACTAAAGAATACGAAAATGTTTCAGATTTCCTTTTTGGATACGATTTTAGTGACGGTTTTTGTATAAAAGAATAATTTATGTCCTAATGGATGTTTTCTTTCACTTGTGCCAAACGCTTTCTATTATGGCTTTTTGCAATATTTTACTCTACAATGTGCTACCACATAAAATGCATCATTAACTACTTTGTGAGATCTTTTCCATCCAAAAATACAAGTGCTGAAAGTTGCTGAATTCCTATTCGCTCATTAAGAAATTTGTTGGCCAAATAGATAAAAGAAGTTAGTATTCTGGTCTTTACAACTATTGCTTTACAATTGTTGCATAATGTTTTTTACTTTGTATACTGTATTCAATCTCAAGAAGTTTAAAGAATTTGTATTTCTATTACAAATGAGCTGTCATTTAATATTTTATGTTTGGTTTGTTTACAATTATGACTATTTCGGCATCTATGGTAGCTGAAGCATCGTCAGAGGTTCATTTAAAATCTTTGCTTACACCTCAAATTGCAGAAAAGTCGACCCTCACCTACCAAAGGTTCATTATGTATGCAGAAAAGGAATCTTCTTGACCGTCTGGGAATCATGCCTATGAACAAAAATTTTATTTTTGGAATGTTGGGGAGTTAACTTTACTTACATTGCTGTTTTACAGTTTGAATCCTGTCGAGAATTTTAACTGAACAGATTGAGTTTTGGAAACCATCACTTTTTTTGCTTTAATTTTTTATTGTACAACACGACACAATTACAAGAAATGTTTGTTGTGTATGAGAAAAGTTTCAATAAATGAGCAATTTAAATACATTCTGTAGTCATTTCTCTTTTAGCATTTTTTTTATAATTTATTTTCAAATACATTGAGTAGTTCGTTACATTTCCAGAATTCAACACATTGAACTGCATCCCCCAAAAAGTTCATACAATATCATATCTTTTTCTTTATTACAACAGGAATTGTGTTCCAAAACAAACACAATTCCAGTTGTAATAAAGAAAAAAAATTATATAAATGTAATAATTATTACAGCGTAATACTAGCATGAAAATAACGTGAAATGAAAAAAAAGAATTTTACACGACAAAAACTATAAGCAATTTTCATCAAAAAAAGGTTAATTATAAATATTTTTAAACCTCAAATTGAAGTTTTCTCATCTAATTTTAGGCATGAAATTCATGTGGACCGGAAAATCTTCTAACAATGTTGTAATTATGTTTCAATACAAATGAAAGTTGTGTTAAATTTCTACAATTTAGTAAATAGTTCATTAAGTTTATCATTTCTTTTATATCTGAATGGATCTTGATGGTCGTACGCGTTTAGCATGTTTAAAAACTCAGACTCAAATCTACTAGAGTCGTACATTGTTGTCCTTGTTTTAGAAAATGCTCCCATGTATAGTAAAGCTGCCTGGTGGAAGTCATATAACCTTTCTCCGATACCATCAGCAAGTGCGTGATAGGCATCCTGGAAAGTCCTTCCAGAAGACGAAACTCCGCCATCTTCCATTTGTGCATGCAATAAAAATCATAATGGCACGGAAAACAGTATTTTACAAAACATTGTCATTTACTTTGAGTCGCTTTTTAAAAAATAAATCTGTTTATTGATTAGTCAAATATGCTGCGTTTCTCTTCGCTAGTCAAACTTTTAATACATTGCCATTTTCAAAATGGAATATTGCTGACAATTATTTCATGCTATGATCATCTTTGGATGTGAACTCAGCTATTTGTATAATATATTTCATAGACTTATGGAAGATCTATTTTGCTTTCCCTATTATATGATATTTGTATAAAAAGAGCTTTTTGTATTGGTACAAGTATATTTTGTACTAGCATAAATATGTACATGTGTACTGGCACAAAATATATACATGTGTAAAGTACATTTTGTATAGATGCAAACAGGTATGTATGTACTAGTAAAGTTTTTTTGTTTTGTACTGGTATAAGTATGTTTTGTATTGATAAAAGCATGTTTAGTATTGTTAAAAACGCATGTGCATGCGTACATGTATTTGTATTGGAGTAAGTGCATGGATACTGGTAAAAGTTAGTTTTTTTACTGATGCAAATATGTGCAAGTATATTTGTACAAGTATGTACATATGTACTGATACCAGATTTGCTAATTACTGTAGGCTCTGTTATGAATCTTTTGGCATCACTGGTATCAAAAACAGTGTAGAAAGTTCAGTTTCGCCGCAAATTATAGAAAAGTCAACTTCACCCACCAGACGTACATTATTTATGCAGAAAAGGAAATAACATTGACTGTTTGGAAAATTTTGTCTATAAAAAGGAAACTTTTTCTTTGGTATATACTATTCAAATTAATTTTACTTATACTTCAGTATTTTTACGGCTTAAATTATATAAAGAAGAATAATAACAGTTTGATCTTTTATTTTTTCCTCTCATTTACTGTCATAAAAGACAAATTTATCTTTGTTCATTGTATTGTACTTATTTTAAGTTGATAAAAACAGTGCATTTCAAATCGATACTGAATAATTTCTTTTTTTATAGGAAAATAATAACTTAAGAATGTTAATATATAATGCTATATTTAAAGTTTTCATTGGTATCAGAATTTATGACACACTCCGAAGTTTAAGTCAAAAAAAAAGGTAAAACTAATTTTTGGTTAATCTTATAACGAAATTCCAATCAAAATTATTTAAACTAAGAACAATTTATCAAGATTGAGTTTAACTGATGTTATCGAAAATAAAAATAGTTTGCGCTGAATGAATTAAATCAATTTATTAGTCAATTACAAGA